GTGTCTCGCCTTCTGTTGTTACGTAAGTAGCGATTAAAATGAAGGAACAGATAAGAAGTTCGGATAAAAACATAGTATGATTATAATTACTGCGAAAATTGACTTTTTCGTAAAACAAGTAACAATAACAAAGTGCACAGAAAGTACGGATAAAAAGCAGAGTAGTGCTTACAGGGATGAAAAACAAAAATAACAGAAATAAACAGGAAGTGTGTATTAGAAAGTTAATAGGATAGTCATTATTGAGAGAATAGACTTTTTATGATGAGCATGGTGGGGACTAAGGTTGGACTTATTTCTTTTGAGTACATAGAGGGTGCTTGCACTTTTGGACCGCTAGTTACTCAGCTATTCTCAGATGCTTTGATCTCACTCGCTTTGATAGGATCTTATATAGGAATTTAAAGAACTCAAATGGAGCTGAATGTTCCGAGAACATCAGATGTTCGGTTACGGAACTACATACATACCTGCGTTCCTCCAGTGATAGACAGATTGGATGGTGTTCTGGAGTACTTTTTACAGGTGATCTTGTGGTTCAGCCAATGTACTCAGTCGTATAAGAGCAGATGAACTGGCATGTGACTGCTGAATTGGCCTAATGCGATAGCTTGTCTTTGATGAGAGAATGACGTCTCAACAGTATGGGTGTTTCATAGTTTATCTTGAGATCTGCGTGTAATCATTTAATGCTGGACAAGTTATGAGGTCTATTTATGCATGCAGCGTCAATATAAAGACCAGTTGTGAACTACAAATACTTTTAATTATATGAGAACTTTACTTAGTATTAATAGAATCAGTGTATACTAATATATAAAATTATCTTTCATTACTTCATGTTGTGCTTCGAATATTAGGTATATGGAGGTTGTTGGGTACAATAAAAATAATCTATTCTCATTTTGTACATGAGGGACGCCACTTTATAGGCATCATCAATATGATAAATTACATATACGATTAGCAAACATACTTAATAATAATGATTTAGTAAAATACATATTTTTCCTACATGTGTAGGACACACCAGTTGTATATGCATGGATAAGTAATATGTAAATTGTATAAATTTGGTTTATGGTTAAATTACACGGTTGCTGTCGTTTTTGTCTTTGGTTTGTGGGAACAATATGATAAGCAGTCATTCAATGGAGCACATCAAGAAATATAGAAATATTGTCTTCGCATTAACAAAAAAACCCAAGTTTGTTTTGGATAGATTACAAATACTTGGGAAAAAATAAAGCTTGAAGACATTCCCCCATATAACTTTGGTGTGTAACGGAATCGAGTCTTATTCTTGATTTATATGCAAATTTGGTAATAATTCGGAATAAGTGATACACTTGTATAGTTTGTCGGCATTTTCATCGTAACATCACAAGTGAATTGTAGTCAATGTAGACTAATAATAATGATAGTTTATATTTCCATATAAACGGGTGTTTTCAAGAAATGAAAGCTATTTTTACAGATACGATCAGTTATGTTATAAGTTACAATCGTGAAGTATTATAAATTAATACTTTTTTATTGTTCTAAGGGTATACTCCACAACTGTAATCCAGGTTGCGTCGTGGGGGAAGGTAATGCGTAATTCACGAAGGAATTGTAAGATATGGGACCTATAATGTTTGCAGATCATTTGTCATTGTAAATGGTCAAATATCCACATTATTCATTCTCATTCAAAAAGTCAAATGGAAGCTGAAATGGTGAGAGAAAAAAGAAGACAAACAACAGCAACGCAAAAGAAAGCAACGGGAGTCCTTAAGGAGTGATTAATAAATATATACATATATATTCTGTTTAGTAACTGTGGTTATTTTGGTACACAAACTAACTAGTCCCGTTATGCTAACTTTTATATTATGTGAAATAATATTACTGTCCTGTGTAGAAATGTTTATCATCTAGTTCCAATAATATTAAAATTTATAATTGTAGTTTGTTGTAACTACACGTTTAAAGAACTTAAAATATCTATGTAGGGTGAAAAAGAGGGTGTAAGAGTCAGACGTAGAAGTGCATTGTCATCTTTGAGCAGTCTGGTGACTGAGGAGATGAACACTGGAAGTGTGTTTGCATTAGCTGGTAGTCTATTCCAAATGACTGAAAACTTATTTAAGAAGAAGTTGTACCGCACGTAAGTCTGACAGTGCTCTATAGCAGCTAGGTTGTGATGATTTCTAAGATTGTAACTGATGACAGCGGTAGGTTTAGTTATTGGCTCGGAGGAATGCAAGAGAAGATTAGTTAGCTTATAGTAAAAGATAAGGTTTAGCTTAAGGCGTCTTTTCCAGAGGGGTTCTAATCTTAGTCTGTCGCATCGCTCATGGTATTCCAGACTACTTTCTAAACCAAGAGTTCTTGAGGTAAACTGCCGTTGCACTCCCTCTAATTTAAGCTTGTCATTTTGTCCGAGTCCGCTAAGAATAAACGGGCAGTATTCTAAGATAGGTCGGACACATACTTTGTATAATAAAACCCTAGTTTCACAACAAAAGAAATTGCGTGTTATGCATCCTATCAGCCTTCGCGTTTTACGTCTGGCATAATCAGTCTGTTCAGCGAACGTTAGGTTACTAGAGTATCTAATACCGAGATCTACGACTGAGTTGAGCTTAGCTAGTTTTCGCCCATTTATTTCAAGAGTTAGATCAAGGTTACTGTTGCCGATACAAATCCAGCCGCATTTGTCAATGTTAAAATTTAGACAGGATTCAGCACACCATGTTGAGACTACTTAGTTCAAGATGTATTTTAGTAACCATATCGCTTAATTCATGAGTGTAGCAGGAGTAGACGACTTTGAGGTCGTCAGCATATAGGAATGGTTTACCTGAGGTGAAGCACTTGCAAATGCTGTTAATGTAGACTGTGAATAAAAGTGGACCTAGGACACTACCTTGCACGACCCCACTTGAGATCTGCCTAGGATGAGACAATACAGATCCAACTTTGGTTATTTGTACCCTGTTGCTTAGAAATGATTTTAACCAGTTCAGTAATGGGTTGCGAATTCCACAAGAGTACAGCTTCTCAAAGAGAATACTGTGAGATACCATGTCAAATGCCCTAGATATATCGAAGTAGAGAACAACGACTAGCTTACGTGCTTCGCGACTACTAGTGATGCAGTTGAAAAAGTCGAAGTGGCAAGTAACGCAGGATCTATTTTTGAGAAATCCGTGTTGAGACCTTGTAACAAGATCTTCCCTAATTAGGTAGTCTGACAATTGATCTTATACAACTTTCTCCATGATTCGTGAGATAACTGGGGTTATATTTATGGGTCTGTAATTGCGGACGTTTGCCCTATCACCAGATTTGTAATGTGGAATTATGAAGCTAGTTTTCCACTCACTAGGGTAAGTGCCAGTGTCCATAGATATTGAGAAGAATTTAAGAAGTAACAGGGGTATATCACACCCACTGTTTTTGAAAATTATCGAAGCGAGGCCATCCGGTCCCGTACTAGTGGAAGGTTTAAGGCTTTTAATTGCTTGTACTATTAATTGATTAGTGAACACAATGCTTTCAAGGGAAGAGATAGTAACGGGGGCGGTTTCACCAGGCATATGTGTTTCTAAACTAAAGTTTGCAAACCAATCACTGGAAAGTTCACAGATAGTGGCAGGTTCATTGTAGATTACTTTGTCGTGAAGTAAGTATGGGATTTCCCTCGCCGACTGCATTCGTTTTTTAAGAAGTGCCGTTAAGTTATAAACTTTGGAGGTACTTTCAAGTGCCGTTAACTCTTCGTCGAGGTCCTTTTGAGAGCGTAGGCGCTTGAAAGATTCAAGAGACTCGTGGATTGAGAGCAATAGTGATATGTCCTTAGTGGAATAGTACTGTTTCTTCAACTTCCTTAACTTATTACGGTGTGCCCTTGGAATATATTCAGTTCGGTGTCTACTTAATTTCACTATTTTCTTTGGAGCAACTGTATCTAGACAAAGGGTAACATTCCTGTAAAACAGGGTTACTACGGCCTCCAGGGAGTCAGTGGTAAAATAGTCATCCCATTGACAGAGTCGAATAAGTTCTTGGACTAATCCCCAGTCTGTATATTTGTAACTACGACATATTGTGCTTCCTGAATCTTGTTTGTTTCCTGTATTTAGTGGTGAGAAAGGCAGAGAGCAGAGTACCATTCTATGGTCACTACTGGAAAATCGATTACCAACATAGGTGGATACTGGGATTGTGTCATGACAAAAAACAAGGTCCAACATGTTGTCACCACGAGTAGGTGTCTGGACGTGTTGTTGCCATCCATAACAGTCGATAGTGGCAAGTAATTCGTCGAAGCGTTGGGGGCCGGAACTAGTTAGCCAATTGACTTCTGGAAGATTGAAGTCCCCTGCAATTATTTTGTAATTAGCACTAAACGAGGATGCGTATGCAAACGATTTAGCTAATAACGCATCAGTTTCTTTTGTTGAGCTTGGTGCTCTCTCCATCCACTCACATAAAACACATCCTCCCCTTCCGAATACAATTATTCATCCACTTGTTTTCCTCTTCTTTTTTTTCGCGAACAAGAAGAAGAAGAAACATGCTACATAGGGCTAGGCTCATCCCAGCGTCAATCAGATTGTCGAAAATTCCTATGTCATCTACACAGAATTCATCGGAACCCATGAAATCAGAAGGTGCAACACTCAGACGTCTTCTTCACTCTCCGGCTACTTCTCTTCGCCATCAAGTGGTTGATAATGATGAAATTGTGATTGTTGAGCCTACAGATTGAGAAGAAGATTGTCGAAGGGGAGAAAAAGAGGAGAGAGAAAAACAAACGTCAATCATAATCGAAGAAGAAGACAGTGAGGAGGGTAGCGATGAAGGTGGTGAAATGACAACAATTCAACACTCTCCTTTATCTTCTATAAAATTCACATCATTTCAAGGCAATAAAGTTGAACAGAATTCCTGCCAGATTCTTGACCACACAGTCATCTTCTAAGCATGTTCTAGCTCATAGTGCTGCTTTAATGAATTGTGTGATGAGGGATATTATTAATCGACCTCCTCGAACTATATGCTACACACCATCTGTCCTTGAAAATACCACAGACGATAGCAGTGGGAATAATGCAATCAATAATACTGCTCCTGGTATCATTAGCAGTGGCAGTAATAAATGTAGTTGTGGTAGCCATTGTGGTTGTGTTGATGGTGGTATAAAAATTCCTACTACTTCAGTATTACCAAATTATTCATGTGAACCATCAGGTGGCGATTATTCAATTCTCACTGACACACAACAAACACCGAATGAAATTCTCGATCCTAGAGCTTCATTTAGTAGAAAATCTGTGAATGAGCTGCACAGATATCAGTGTGCATGTCCTGGCTGTGGCGAAGTCTACTCAAGGTGTATGGACAGAAAGAACCTGTTCAACGGATAATGGCAAAAGACAGTATGTTTACCGAAAGCCTGGTTGTGGGGCAGCATTTGTTCGAATCTATATGGCAAAACTCTATGAGTTAACTCATGTTGTTGATCGTAAAGGCTCTACACGACTCTCACAATATGCTGCATATGTGGAGCATGTTATGAATGGAGTGAATTCTGGCGTTGGTGGTGAGCGAATTGTTGTCAGTCCACGAAACTTAAGTCCAACAATTCCCAACCCCACTTCAGCTAAAACAGCAATAGTCATCCCTTCATCAAATGCTCTCCTGAAGCCACCAAGTCAAGTCGATAAGTATATCTATACATATAAATGTCGTTTGCTCCGACATGCGAGTCCACCAAAACCGAATCCACCACCTCGAATGTCTCCTATTACGCATATGAATAGGAGACCATGCATCGCATACCCATATTTCTGTCCATGGAAAGCATGTAGTAAGATATTTGTAAGCTTTATATTACTGATTGAACCTCGCCTAGATTACTAGCTCGCTAGTTTTCTAGCCGGTCCCAAGCCCGAATAAAGAAGGAGGGATGGGGCGTGGTGCTAGCAACTTCATCCCCAAAACGTAACCAAATCGCTACAGAAACTTCGACGCACAAATATACTAAAGATTCTAAAATTATAAACAATAACCTTATTTCTCGCTGGAATCGGGGAAGTAAAATGACGCAGGCTGGTGAAAGCCTTCGGGAAGCCAGTCAGCCGATGTGCCTTATTTCGATGAAAGCAAAAATAAGGATGGGGACATGGGACGTTCGTACAATGTACGAAACTGTAAAGGTTGTCCAGATAGCCGCAGAAATGAGAAGATATAGAATAGAAGTGTTGGGAATCTGCGAGAACAGATGGAACAGATGTGGAAGGTGCCAACTATCAACCGGAGAGACAATAATCTATTCCGGTCACCCAGAGGACAATCACCAGCATACTGAGGGAGTGGCCATCATGATGTCACCAACAGCAACCAAAGCTCTCATGCAGTGGGAACCAATCTCCTCCAGGATAATGACAGCCAGGTTCAACTCCAAAGGAAGGAAGGAAGGAAAGTTACAGTCATTCAATGCTATGCGCCTACAAACGTCTCAGAAGAAGAGAAGAAGGAGGCGTTCTACAGACAACTACAAACAGTAATGGACAATGTCCCAAATGGAGATATCAAAATCCCGATGGGTGATATGAATTCGAAGCTTGGAGGAAACAATACAGGAAGAGAACTCACCATGGGTTGCAAGGCCCTTGGTGAAATGAACGACAATGATGAATTCTTCTCAGACTTCTGCGCCTTCAGTGATTTGGTGATTGGTGGAAGTGTGTTCAAACACAAGACTTTCCCCAGATAGACACACCAAAAACCAGATAGACTTCATTTCAATCTCAAGAAAGTGGAGACGAAGCCCCCGGATCGAGAAGAGGAGCAGATGGGTGTTCAGACCACTATCTCGTACAAGGGAATTTCAAGGTGAAGGTAGGTAACAATGCAAGTTCAACACTCAAAAAAAAACATTTTCACTGCTACTGTCAGACTAAAGCAGCAAACACTACCTGACATCACTGAAGAACCATTCGCTAAAGACCATTGGAACTCTCTGAATTTGATTTTTAACGAAACGAGGTCAACGGTTTTACGAAGAAAGAAGAGACAAGACAAGGAATCGCTCTCAACGGACACTTGGAAGCTAATACAGGAGAGGAGCATGGTAAAAGAAAAAATCATTCAATCCCAAGATGGACAAGAGAAGGAGACTCTGATTTCAACTTACAAAGCACTGGACAAAGAGGTGAAGAAGAGTGCTAGGAAGGACAAAAGACAATTGTACGACAATCTGGCCACTGAAGCTGAGAAGGCAGCAGGCTAAAGGGACCTGAGGACATTATATCGGATAACCAAGTCTCTATCCGGGAAGAAATCAAAACAAGTGAAACCTATAAAAGACAGCCAAGGGAACCCAATTACCAAGGAAGAAAAACAGATTAAACAATCGGCGGATCACTTCAAAGGACTCTTGAACCGATCATCACCTGCAACCCGTCCAGAAATACCAACAACAGCACGTACACAACTGCAAGTTGACACCAATCCTCCAACGAGAGCTGAAGTCTTAAATGCAATCAAGCCTCTGAAAGCTGGGAAAGCAGCTGGACCAGATGGAATACCCCCTGAAGCACTGAAAGCAGACCCAGAGGTAACAGCAGATATGATGAATCCATTATTGCAAAAGGTCTGGAAGGAGGGAAAGGTGCCTACTGACTCGAGGGAAGGTTACCTCGGGAAACTACCAAAGAAGGGCGACTTAGGCCTCACTCTGCAAGAACTGGCGAGGAATCATGCTCCTGTTGACGCCAAGTAAAATCCTGAGTCGCATCATTCTGGAGAGAATAAAGGACGCACTGGATACAGAAATCCGTCCAGAACAAGCTGGATTCAGGAAAGGCAAATCATGTTCTGACCAAATTCCAACTCTACGCATTATCATCACAGAACAAAGCATGGAATGGCAATCAAACCTCTGCCTCAACTTTATAGACTTTGAGAAGGCCTTCGACAGTGTTGACCGCGAAGTAATTTGGAAACTACTTGAGTACCCCAAGGATTCTTTTCGCCTAAGACTTTGTATGGCCATGCCTTAGTGAAACGCTGAGTACATTATGTGCCAAACCACTATTCCAACAGGCTACGAATGTTCTCGTTCAATGATCAACAATACTCTTATAGTGAACATAAAGATACGTATATATTTCTACTTGAACGACTGTTTTTTCAGTGAACCTGCTTTCTTAGGCTTTCACAGGGGGGTTTAAAGAACCGTTTTTATTTTAGTAGTTATCCAAATTATACGTTCATATAGCTGTTCTGGTAAAATTCATTAACTCAGTGCCATAGAAGGCTTTGTCGCTCTTCTCAATACTCTACTCCTAAAAACAACCCCTCAAGAAAATTTCCAAATAGCCATTTTCAACCTCCATATGAAAATTCTCATAAAGTGTCAGGCGGTGATCTCTGCTTGTTGCTTTTATCCATCCATTCACGAAATGTACTCGTTACGTCATGCAAGTGGTCAGTTGTGATTTTCACCACTTTGTGAAGGGATTCAGGTGACAATGCAATACTTTATGGGAGGAAACGGGAGGCCACTAAGGCAATGAATATCTACTTAAAGTGGGGAGACACAGAAGTATAGTTTTCAATACTTCTGGTTACCTCGCAAAAACCATTAGTCAATCGACATTGTTCTGGTCAGCTTTGGACATAAAGCTCTTCACACTTTTACGCTATTATCAAGAAGGAGTGCTGGATAGCCAGATGTGTGACAAAATCCAGTGCTGTGCAATATTCAGGGAATTACAGGAAGCAGAATCACTACCTTCGACTCGTGAATCTTGAATTATATGAGGTTAAGTAACTTGTGCAGGATTAAATTCCTCCATAAGAAACTGACTGGGAAAAATAGTATTTCTAACATTAGGATATCGCGCTGATTTTCGCTGGATGTCCTTTTGAAGTCGAAAAGCTTTCCATAGGCTAAGGCATGTAGGTCTGATCGAAGCATCTCGAAGACAGAGGTGAATTAACTTACGAAATATATTCTGCAAGTATAGCCTTGATAATCAGCACACATTAAAATCATAGAGGCCGATTTTTGTTAAATGGATTTAAGAAAGAAAATTCTAGAGAAATTACCGAATTGCAGACAGCACATAGGCACAATACACCTACACTAATCATATCGAATGTATATCACAGTCGTCAACTGTGTGACCGAATGGTCAACCATGAAATGCATCAAGTCATCATGAAATGATGACAGAAAATAAACACGCTGACATCCATGAACAGACTCCTTGTGACGCTTTAAACTCCCAGTCTGAGTGAAGTTTGTTCCACATACGTCACATTTGTCATTTACCTAATTATCAATACAAAATACAGAGAATGAAAACGTGAAGTGAAATATACTGACAACACTATTGGTCAAATACGAATAAGCGACTTCATCTTGATTAGGTAGGCTTCAGAATTCGACATATACAAAAGAATCTTTAAAAGCGTGTTACACATAGTATAATCGCCAGCACTACGTTTTCTCGAGAAAGGGCATTTCCAAAATACTAGTTCAAACAAAAGGTACTGCTTGAAGTGAATTGACTTCATCTGAAATCATTTATCAACCCACACAGTTTGTGTTGTACAGAATAAACAAATAATTAAACTTTGCAGAAAAGATTATAAAAACAACAGTTGCATTGACCATACGCAAAGTGAGATCGGAATTGACATCATTGCGAATCATCCCCAGAGCAGTTACTTTTCAGAGTTAAGTTAATAATATATGATATGTATCCACATATATATATTTATGTGTGTGTGTGCATGTTGGTCTCTCTTTCTGTTTGCTCGGTTAGTCTGTGACCACTTCACTTGTATGAACCTGTCTCCTTTAACAATGTATACTCCATTTATATTATATATAATATGAGTGTTTGTTGACAGTCCGTTGCTTGGTGACATATATCCATATATGGTTGTTGACATGTCTGCTATATTCGCTATGTATATTTGGATCGACACTTCATTATAATTAGCCATCCATGTTAAGACTGTCTAATGATTTATTCCCACGCTTTGTCTGGAACATTCATATATATTTCGCATTCACAATCTTGTGACTTTACTTTACAACTACTTAACTTTACTTACTTACTTACCACTTTGGTGTGAGACCATTTATTTTCATCTCCTTGTGTTTGGACAATAGAAGTATCATCGCAAACCTACTGGTCTTCTGATTTCCGCCTTCTCGCGTCAGGACTATTAGTTTCTCGACCAGTCCATAACAATAATTTAGCGACGAGTACATAACAATTTGGCGACGGGGAAACTAGTACATAACAATTTGGCGACGGGGAAAACTACTATTAACCACTCAGCAGCAGCAACATACCAATTTACTATGGATCATTCTAAATTGGAATTATTGTTTGAACGACAATTGAAATTAATGGAAATGTTCGTCAACCAACAGACTGGTCCAGCTTCACCTTTGTTGAGTACGTAACAATGTGATTGTACACTTTTTGGTTACTTGTATAAATTCGAGATATTGTACATAATTTTTGTTTAAAACGCTTCTTGTTGAAATATACATAACTTCCGTGTACAATTGAAAAATACACTCTGCTGTTGGAGACTTCGTCTTCTCCCTGGTCACTTCTGCTTACTTGCTCCACTCACACCGTGTTGTATACTTCGGATTTATTGTAGGAGCCTACTACTCTCAACCGAAGACATTTCTACAACCGGAACACAGCAGCTACAGCAGACGCAGTCCAAACAATTAACGTGCCTGTGGATTATATAATTAATTTGTAGCCGAGGACTTAGACGTTATATACAAGTAATCCTTTTTGTTGCTATAACTCGTCACTGTATTTTTGGTAATATATTGTGATTTAACACTCCACTGACTTGGATTATTACTTTTATACTTGGAATGTTAGTGAACTCTAATATTAGTCCCCTACAAATTAATTGGTGAGCCCGATAAGAACACGGATTATTTTGGCATATTCATATTCTTATTTTTGCTATTTTTATATTCATTGTGATTTTGTGTGTGGTTTATATTTGTATCCTAATTTGCACCAATAACCTCATATATATAATGTCATCACCTCAGTCCGGTACATCAAACGAGCAGACAACTAATAGCGAGACAAATGCCACAATAAATGCCATCACTGATTTTCGTTTACCCCAATACGGTTTCGCAGAACCAAGGATTTGGTTTGCGGTAATTGAACCGTTGCTAGAAGCACGGGGCATTAAGTCCCAAATAGCCAAATATGGTATGGTGCTGGCAGAACTCCCTCCGTCAGTATTGACAGAAATCAGCGATTTCATCGAAGATCCTCCGACGGAACATCAATTTGATAAACTTAAAGCCCTCCTCATACAACGTACCAGTTTGTCGGATGAGAAAAGAATCCAACAATTGCTCACAGGCTGTGAACTAGGCCCACGTAAACCATCCCAGCTGCTCAGGCACATGCGCCAGTTAATCGGAAATCATAAAGTAGACGAGGTAGTGCTGAAACAGATGTGGTTGCAACGTTTACCTAGAAATGTCCAGCAAATTTTAATCATCTCAGGAAAGTCGTATGACTTAGACCAACTAAGTGACATGGCAGATAGTATTTTGGATGTTTTATCCGATAACACCATAAGTCACGTAGCATCTGATAGTGCCACACCGTGTCATTCCACACCCACGGCAGACACACCGATACTCGCCGCCATTGCAGACTTAGCGGCAAGGATTGACAAGTTGGAAACTAATAAGTCTGATCGACAAGTCCGGAGACGGAGTTCACAAAGAAGGTCACCATCACGACGACGATCCTTCTCACGACAGCGTTCTTACACGTCTTCTCGGGATAGCAATATATGCTGGTATCACTGGAAGTTTGGACGTCATGCCCTGAAATGTGTAAAACCGTGCAGCTTTAGCGAAGCCAACCAGGCTCAGGGAAACGCCTCAGCCAGACAGTGATGGCGACAGCTGTTACTGGCAAGCAAACAAGTCGCCTCTTCTATGTGAAGGATAAAACTTCAGACACTTTATTCCTGGTAGACACGGGAGCAGAAGTTAGCGTAATCCCTCCTTCACTATCCAGGCGATCTACACGGACACCCGGAAAACTGTCTCTCCGGGCAGCTAACCACACAAGCATACAGACGTATGGAGAGCAATCCCTCATACTGGATCTAGGTTTACGTCGGCGTTTCACATGGATTTTCATAGTAGCCGACGTCAGTCACGCCATCCTCGGAGCAGATTTCTTGAGTAATTTCAACCTGTTAGTTGACGTCAACAATAAAAAACTGATTGATAACAACACCCATCTAAAGATCCATGGAATTATCTCCAGCTATTCTGTCTATAATATCAGTATTGAAAGACCAGCAGATTGCCCTTTTTCCTCCCTACTTCACCGTTTCCCTAAAATTCTTAAGCCGTCGTACAACATCGAGGACGTCCCTCACACAGTTACTCACAAGATAGTTACTACGGGTCAACCAGTTCGTGCTCGTCCCGTAGATTACCCCCGGACAAATTGGCAGCAGCCAAGGCAGAATTTGAACACATGATGCAGCTCGGCATCATCAGACCCTCCAATAGTCCTTGGTCTTCGCCCTTACACATGGTGCCTAAAGCTGATCATGATTGGAGGCCATGTGGGGATTACCGACATTTAAACAATGCCACAGTTCCCGACCGTTATCCTATTCCTCATCTTCATGATTTCTCCCTGACATTACACGGAAAAACCATTTTTTCTAAAGTAGACTTGGTCAGGGCCTATCACCAAATACCAGTTGCCCAAGAGGATATCGAAAAAACGGCCATCATCACACCTTTCGGTTTGTTTGAATTTCTCCGCATGCCATTTGGCCTAAAGAACGCAGCACAATCCTTCCAACGTTTCATGGATCAGGTCACACAAGGTTTGGACTTTGTATTTGTATATATCGATGACGTTTTAATTGCTAGCTCGTCGCCCGAAGAACATACTGATCACCTCACCATCTTATTTCAACGATTTGAGCAATATGGAGTCGTCATTAACCCCAAAAAGTGCATATTCGGTGTCTCCTCTATACAGTTTCTGGGACACCACATAACCGCGAATGGTATTACGCCTACGGAGGAAAAGATAGAGTCCATCAAAAACTTCCCCGAACCAGATTCACTCAAGAAGGTCAGACGTTTTTTGGGGATGTTTAATTTCTATCGGCGTTTCATTCCTTCGTGTGCCTCCATCGTCCAGCCGTTAACCGACCTCCTTAAAAATGATCCTAAAAAGTTTCAGTGGTCAGCTGAAGCACGCGAATCATTTTGCAACGCAAAAGATGCCTTATCCAGAGTCACTATGCTATCCCATATCAACCCCGAAGCGTCGCTTATTTTGTGCACAGATGCCTCCCAAGTAGCTGTAGGGGCAGTATTACAACAAAAGATGAAGGGCGAAGTCACCCCACTCGCATTCTTTTCTAAGAAGTTGGAACCGGCTCAGACACGATACAGCACTTTTGGGAGAGAATTGCTGGCCATATATCTTGCAGTGAAGCATTTCAGTTACTTACTACAGGGCCGGCATTTCACTATTTTTACTGACCACAAGCCCCTGTGTCATGCTTTCACTACTTCACTTGATAAACACTCCCCTAGAGAAGCCAGACAGTTGGATTATATCTCCCAATTTTCAACCGACATTCAGTACATCAAAGGGGATGCGAACGTGGTAGCCGATTCTCTTTCAAGAAGTGACATTAACCAGCTCCAAACGTCGGTAGACATCAGTCTTGATCGTATGGCTCAATTACAAAGAGATGACGTTGAACTCCAAACCTGCCGCAGAAACTCTTCCTTACAGCTCAAAGATGTGCCTATCCCCTTATCAGATGCAACCATAGTCTGCGATGTATCTACCGGCACTAATCGTCCATTTGTCCCTCTCAGTTGCCGAAAAGCATTGTTCGAACATTTACATTCGCTTTCTCACCCTGGAGTACGCGCCACGGTCAGACTGATCAGCGAACGCTTCGTGTGGCCTAAAATGAACTCTGACATTCGGAGATGGGCACGAGAATGTATCCAATGCCAATGCTCCAAAGTACACCGCCACACTATTACAACCCCGAAGACGTTTAAATTACCCGAAAGGAGATTTCAGCATATCCATATAGATATCGTGGGACCATTGCCAACATCAAGGGGATATACACATATCCTGACAGCGATTGATAGATTTACTCGTTGGGCTATTGCATGCCCCTTAAACGACATATCTGCTGAAAACGTTGCTTTAGTTTTTCTCGACCGTTGGGTGTCAAACTACGGTGTACCAACTACTATTACATCCGACCGCGGTCCTCAATTCCAATCGACACTCTTTCGCGAACTGACGAGACTTCTGGGAGTGAAACATATCTCCACAACAGCCTATCATCCGGCAGCGAATGGTCTAGTGGAAAGATTCCACAGACAACTGAAAAGCTCCCTGATGGCGCAGAATGATACATCTAAGTGGAGTGAATACTTACCTTTGATTTTACTTGGTATCCGTTCTACTATCAAAGAAGATTTAGGATGTACACCGGCTCAACTTGTCTATGGCACCAACCTAACCTTGCCTGGACAGCTAGTCCCCTCAGCCGATTCCACAGACGTGAACATTGCCGACTTCACTAACCGATTAACTAGACAAATGCTTCAACTTCAACCAACAGCACCTCGACAATCTCCCCGAAGAGATCAGATCAACAAACATCTACAAACTTGCAAATTCGTCTTCATTCGAGTCGACGCCATCAGAAAAGGATTGCAACCTCCATACGAAGGACCTTTTCAAGTTATTAAACGTTCAGACAAACACTTTACAGTGAACAAGAATGGAAGACGAGAGACTGTTTCAATTGATCGAATCAAACCCGCATACACCGACAACGACTTCGAATCTACATCGGCAGCTGCGCAATCAAATAATCAAACATCCGATTCCACTCCACCGGCACCAAGTCTTATCCTCCCTCCATATCAAACACGTAGTGGTCGGCAAATCAGTAAACCGGCTCGCTACGTTCATTTTGAGGACTAACAAAAGAAAAATAATTAAAAATTATTATTATCTTTTTCGTTTAGACATTATCATCATGACCGTTAGTATTTCGTCGTAAACTTTGATGTTACTATCACTATTATTTATTTATATGTACCTCACCGAAAAAACAGGTAGTGTCCTTTCCAAAAACTATTGATCTTTAATCCATATTTTTTTTAATGTTTCTTTCCCCTCCTTAATTACTGTGTATTTACATATTTTTCTTTATACATTAAAAATCTATGTTCATGGTTAGTGCAAATTTAAGTGACATGACTTTCTATTTCAATTTTTATTGCTGAACTCATTGTATATGCTTTCAGACTTTACATGATTCACATACCTTCTCGCGTTTATGCATGTTGTAATATATCCCTATTTTTATCCAAAATTTGCTATTACTATTATTATTTACTTCATAGTTTTACTTATCATTTTCCGGTTGTCTCTCCGGACCTCTAGGGGGGAGCCGTGTTGAGTACGTAACAATGTGATTGTACACTTTTTGGTTACTTGTATAAATTCGAGATATTGTACATAATTTTTGTTTAAAACGCTTCTTGTTGAAATATACATAACTTCCGTGTACAATTGAAAAATACACTCTGCTGTTGGAGACTTCGTCTTCTCCCTGGTCACTTCTGCTTACTTGCTCCACTCACACCGTGTTGTATACTTCGGATTTATTGTAGGAGCCTACTACTCTCAACCGAAGACATTTCTACAACCGGAACACAGCAGCTACAGCAGACGCAGTCCAAACAATTAACGTGCCTGTGGATTATATAATTAATTTGTAGCCGAGGACTTAGACTTTATATCCAAGTAATCCTTTTTGTTGCTATAACTCGTCACTGTATTTTTGGTAATATATTGTGATTTAACACTCCACTGACTTGGATTATTACTTTTATACTTGGAATGTTAGTGAACTCTAATATTAGTCCCCTACAAATTAATTGGTGAGCCCGATAAGAACACGGATTATTTTGGCATATTCATATTCTTATTTTTGCTATTTTTATATTCATTGTGATTTTGTGTGTGGTTTATATTTGTATCCTAATTTGCACCAATAACCTCATATTTATAATGTCATCACCTCAGTCCGGTACATCAAACGAGCAGACAACTAATAGCGAGACAAATGCCACAATAAATGCCATCACTGATTTTCGTTTACCCCAATACGGTTTCGCAGAACCAAGGATTTGGTTTGCGGTAATTGAACCGTTGCTAGAAGCACGGGGCATTAAGTCCCAAATAGCCAAATATGGTATGGTGCTGGCAGAACTCCCTCCGTCAGTATTGACAGAAATCAGCGATTTCATCGAAGATCCTCCGACGGAACATCAATTTGATAAACTTAAAGCCCTCCTCATACAACGTACCAGTTTGTCGGATGAGAAAAGAATCCAACAATTGCTCACAGGCTGTGAACTAGGCCCACGTAAACCATCCCAGCTGCTCAGGCACATGCGCCAGTTAATCGGACATCATAAAGTAGACGAGGTAGTGCTGAAACAGATGTGGTTGCAACGTTTACCTAGAAATGTCCAGCAAATTTTAATCATCTCAGGAAAGTCGTATGACTTAGACCAACTAAGTGACATGGCAGATAGTATTTTGGATGTTTTATCCGATAACACCATAAGTCACGTAGCATCTGATAGTGCCACACCGTGTCATTCCACACCCACGGCAGACACACCGATACTCGCCGCCATTGCAGACTTAGCGGCAAGGATTGACAAGTTGGAAACTAATAAGTCTGATCGACAAGTCCGGAGACGGAGTTCACAAAGAAGGTCACCATCACGACGACGATCCTTCTCACGACAGCGTTCTTACACGTCTTCTCGGGATAGCAATATATGCTGGTATCACTGGAAGTTTGGACGTCATGCCCTGAAATGTGTAAAACCGTGCAGCTTTAGCGAAGCCAACCAGGCTCAGGGAAACGCCTCAGCCAGACAGTGATGGCGACAGCTGTTACTGGCAAGCAAACAAGTCGCCTCTTCTATGTGAAGGATAAAACTTCAGACACTTTATTCCTGGTAGACACGGGAGCAGAAGTTAGCGTAATCCCTCCTTCACTATCCAGGCGATCTACACGGACACCCGGAAAACTGTCTCTCCGGGCAGCTAACCACACAAGCATACAGACGTATGGAGAGCAATCCCTCATACTGGATCTAGGTTTACGTCGGCGTTTCACATGGATTTTCATAGTAGCCGACGTCAGTCACGCCATCCTCGGAGCAGATTTCTTGAGTAATTTCAACCTGTTAGTTGACGTCAACAATAAAAAACTGATTGATAACAACACCCATCTAAAGATCCATGGAATTATCTCCAGCTATTCTGTCTATAATATCAGTATTGAAAGACCAGCAGATTGCCCTTTTTCCTCCCTACTTCACCGTTTCCCTAAAATTCTTAAGCCGTCGTACAACATCGAGGACGTCCCTCACACAGTTACTCACAAGATAGTTACTACGGGTCAACCAGTTCGTGCTCGTCCCGTAGATTACCCCCGGACAAATTGGCAGCAGCCAAGGCAGAATTTGAACACATGATGCAGCTCGGCATCATCAGACCCTCCAATAGTCCTTGGTCTTCGCCCTTACACATGGTGCCTAAAGCTGATCATGATTGGAGGCCATGTGGGGATTACCGACATTTAAACAATGCCACAGTTCCCGACCGTTATCCTATTCCTCATCTTCATGATTTCTCCCTGACATTACACGGAAAAACCATTTTTTCTAAAGTAGACTTGGTCAGGGCCTATCACCAAATACCAGTTGCCCAAGAGGATATCGAAAAAACGGCCATCATCACACCTTTCGGTTTGTTTGAATTTCTCCGCATGCCATTTGGCCTAAAGAACGCAGCACAATCCTTCCAACGTTTCATGGATCAGGTCACACAAGGTTTGGACTTTGTATTTGTATATATCGATGACGTTTTAATTGCTAGCTCGTCGCCCGAAGAACATACTGATCACCTCACCATCTTATTTCAACGATTTGAGCAATATGGAGTCGTCATTAACCCCAAAAAGTGCATATTCGGTGTCTCCTCTATACAGTTTCTGGGACACCACATAACCGCGAATGGTATTACGCCTACGGAGGAAAAGATAGAGTCCATCAAAAACTTCCCCGAACCAGATTCACTCAAGAAGGTCAGACGTTTTTTGGGGATGTTTAATTTCTATCGGCGTTTCATTCCTTCGTGTGCCTCCATCGTCCAGCCGTTAACCGACCTCCTTAAAAATGATCCTAAAAAGTTTCAGTGGTCAGCTGAAGCACGCGAATCATTTTGCAACGCAAAAGATGCCTTATCCAGAGTCACTATGCTATCCCATATCAACCCCGAAGCGTCGCTTATTTTGTGCACAGATGCCTCCCAAGTAGCTGTAGGGGCAGTATTACAACAAAAGATGAAGGGCGAAGTCACCCCACTCGCATTCTTTTCTAAGAAGTTGGAACCGGCTCAGACACGATACAGCACTTTTGGGAGAGAATTGCTGGCCATATATCTTGCAGTGAAGCATTTCAGTTACTTACTACAGGGCCGGCATTTCACTATTTTTACTGACCACAAGCCCCTGTGTCATGCTTTCACTACTTCACTTGATAAACACTCCCCTAGAGAAGCCAGACAGTTGGATTATATCTCCCAATTTTCAACCGACATTCAGTACATCAAAGGGGATGCGAACGTGGTAGCCGATTCTCTTTCAAGAAGTGACATTAACCAGCTCCAAACGTCGGTAGACATCAGTCTTGATCGTATGGCTCAATTACAAAGAGATGACGTTGAACTCCAAACCTGCCGCAGAAACTCTTCCTTACAGCTCAAAGATGTGCCTATCCCCTTATCAGATGCAACCATAGTCTGCGATGTATCTACCGGCACTAATCGTCCATTTGTCCCTCTCAGTTGCCGAAAAGCATTGTTCGAACATTTACATTCGCTTTCTCACCCTGGAGTACGCGCCACGGTCAGACTGATCAGCGAACGCTTCGTGTGGCCTAAAATGAACTCTGACATTCGGAGATGGGCACGAGAATGTATCCAATGCCAATGCTCCAAAGTACACCGCCACACTATTACAACCCCGAAGACGTTTGAATTACCCGAAAGGAGATTTCAGCATATCCATATAGATATCGTGGGACCATTGCCAACATCAAGGGGATATACACATATCCTGACAGCGATTGATAGATTTACTCGTTGGGCTATTGCATGCCCCTTAAACGACATATCTGCTGAAAACGTTGCTTTAGTTTTTCTCGACCGTTGGGTGTCAAACTACGGTGTACCAACTACTATTACATCCGACCGCGGTCCTCAATTCCAATCGACACTCTTTCGCGAACTGACGAGACTTCTGGGAGTGAAACATATCTCCACAACAGCCTATCATCCGGCAGCGAATGGTCTAGTGGAAAGATTCCACAGACAACTGAAAAGCTCCCTGATGGCGCAGAATGATACATCTAAGTGGAGTGAATACTTACCTTTGATTTTACTTGGTATCCGTTCTACTATCAAAGAAGATTTAGGATGTACACCGGCTCAACTTGTCTATGGCACCAACCTAACCTTGCCTGGACAGCTAGTCCCCTCAGCCGATTCCACAGACGTGAACATTGCCGACTTCACTAACCGATTAACTAGACAAATGCTTCAACTTCAACCAACAGCACCTCGACAATCTCCCCGAAGAGATCAGATCAACAAACATCTACAAACTTGCAAATTCGTCTTCATTCGAGTCGACGCCATCAGAAAAGGATTGCAACCTCCATACGAAGGACCCTTTCAAGTTATTAAACGTTCAGACAAACACTTTACAGTGAACAAGAATGGAAGACGAGAGACTGTTTCAATTGATCGAATCAAACCCGCATACACCGACAACGACTTCGAATCTACATCGGCAGCTGCGCAATCAAATAATCAAACATCCGATTCCACTCCACCGGCACCAAGTCTTATCCTCCCTCCATATCAAACACGTAGTGGTCGGCAAATCAGTAAACCGGCTCGCTACGTTCATTTTGAGGACTAACAAAAGAAAAATAATTAAAAATTATTATTATCTTTTTCGTTTAGACATTATCATCATGACCGTTAGTATTTCGTCGTAAACTTTGATGTTACTATCACTATTATTTATTTATATGTACCTCACCTAAAAAACAGGTATTGTCCTTTCCAAAAACTATTGATCTTTAATCCATATTTTTTTTAATGTTTCTTTCCCCTCCTTAATTACTGTGTATTTACATATTTTTCTTTATACATTAAAAATCTATGTTCATGGTTAGTGCAAATTTAAGTGACATGACTTTCTATTTCAATTTTTATTGCTGAACTCATTGTATATGCTTTCAGACTTTACATGATTCACATACCTTCTCGCGTTTATGCATGTTGTAATATATCCCTATTTTTATCCAAAAATTGCTATTACTATTATTATTTACTTCATAGTTTTACTTATCATTTTCCGGTTGTCTCTCCGGACCTCTAGGGGGGAGCCGTGTTGAGTACGTAACAATGTGATTGTACACTTTTTGGTTACTTGTATAAATTCGAGATATTGTACATAATTTTTGTTTAAAACGCTTCTTGTTGAAATATACATAACTTCCGTGTACAATTGAAAAATACACTCTGCTGTTGGAGACTTCGTCTTCTCCCTGGTCACTTCTGCTTACTTGCTCCACTCACACCGTGTTGTATACTTCGGATTTATTGTAGGAGCCTACTACTCTCAACCGAAGACATTTCTACAACCGGAACACAGCAGCTACAGCAGACGCAGTCCAAACAATTAACGTGCCTGTGGATTATATAATTAATTTGTAGCCGAGGACTTAGACTTTATATCCAAGTAATCCTTTTTGTTGCTATAACTCGTCACTGTATTTTTGGTAATATATTGTGATTTAACACTCCACTGACTTGGATTATTACTTTTATACTTGGAATGTTAGTGAACTCTAATATTAGTCCCCTACAAATTAATTGGTGAGCCCGATAAGAACACGGATTATTTTGGCATATTCATATTCTTATTTTTGCTATTTTTATATTCATTGTGATTTTGTGTGTGGTTTATATTTGTATCCTAATTTGCACCAATAACCTCATATTTATAATGTCATCACCTCAGTCCGGTACATCAAACGAGCAGACAACTAATAGCGAGACAAATGCCACAATAAATGCCATCACTGATTTTCGTTTACCCCAATACGGTTTCGCAGAACCAAGGATTTGGTTTGCGGTAATTGAACCGTTGCTAGAAGCACGGGGCATTAAGTCCCAAATAGCCAAATATGGTATGGTGCTGGCAGAACTCCCTCCGTCAGTATTGACAGAAATCAGCGATTTCATCGAAGATCCTCCGACGGAACATCAATTTGATAAACTTAAAGCCCTCCTCATACAACGTACCAGTTTGTCGGATGAGAAAAGAATCCAACAATTGCTCACAGGCTGTGAACTAGGCCCACGTAAACCATCCCAGCTGCTCAGGCACATGCGCCAGTTAATCGGACATCATAAAGTAGACGAGGTAGTGCTGAAACAGATGTGGTTGCAACGTTTACCTAGAAATGTCCAGCAAATTTTAATCATCTCAGGAAAGTCGTATGACTTAGACCAACTAAGTGACATGGCAGATAGTATTTTGGATGTTTTATCCGATAACACCATAAGTCACGTAGCATCTGATAGTGCCACACCGTGTCATTCCACACCCACGGCAGACACACCGATACTCGCCGCCATTGCAGACTTAGCGGCAAGGATTGACAAGTTGGAAACTAATAAGTCTGATCGACAAGTCCGGAGACGGAGTTCACAAAGAAGGTCACCATCACGACGACGATCCTTCTCACGACAGCGTTCTTACACGTCTTCTCGGGATAGCAATATATGCTGGTATCACTGGAAGTTTGGACGTCATGCCCTGAAATGTGTAAAACCGTGCAGCTTTAGCGAAGCCAACCAGGCTCA